TTGCGCCCTACGACAAGGTCAAGCATCTGCCGTATCTGCGCGCCTGTCTGGACGAGTCGCTGCGGCTGTTCCCGCCGACGTCGCACGGCCTGCCACGGGAGACGCCGCCAGAGGGGATGGAGATCCTAGGCGAGTGGGTGTCAGGCGGCGTGTCAGTGAGCATGTCAGCGCTGGTAGCCCACCGCGACGAGCGCGTCTTCAAGGAGGCAGACAAATTCATCCCAGAGCGCTGGCTGGGCGAGGAGGGCAAAGCCCTGCAGCCGTATTTTATCGCCTTCTCGGCAGGCGCGCGCTCCTGTATCGGGCGTAACATCTCATATCTGGAGCAGACCAAGGCGGTGGCTAGCATCGTCCATCGCTACGACTTTGCGTTGCCGCATCCGGACTGGGAGTTGAAGAGGCTGGAGACGATGAATCTGATTCTGGGAGAGATGCCGGTGAAGATATGGCGGAGGCAGCGGAATACTGAGGTGGTGGCTTGATGAGAGGATGGTATTACGTAGTGATGGAGTTGATAAATAGCATGCAATCCTATAAAGTAGTATTCTCGTATTTTATTAAGGTAGATGTTCGTTCTCATTCAATACAGTCAGTATCTATTCGTTCTTTCCATGGTCAATAATATTATTTTCTATCGGTTTATTTTATACACACTACATACAATGTTTACTGAGGTTGTATATATACTATAGTATAGCCCTCACTCCAAAAGAAAAAAATACATATTAATTCCATAAGGTAGTCAACAAGACCTAACTAACTAATGAACATAATAACCAATCTTTCCTTCTAGTGACCTTTCTATCTGTGGTAAGTTCTATTGTGTCTTGTCTTGCTTAGGGCTCCGTCATCAGGTGACCGACCGCATCACATTAATTAGGCTAGGTAGGGAAGATCCTTGCTACTTGCTAGCAAAAGAGGAAATCTATTCCGCTTCCTTTAACTTCCAATTCTATTATTAAGATTACATGCGTGTATCTAGTGGGGTTCCTTCCGACCAACCAATGCTAAAACAGCAGAGGAGAGAGGGGAGTAAATCAAGACAAAAGCTTCTTTTGGATGAGGAAATGTTTCCCGTTTATACTACCTACTATATACGTGTATGTACTGTACAGTACTTTATTTAACTTAGCTGGAGTCTATAGCTTATAGGCACCTGCAGCTATATATAACTAGCTAACACTAGCTACTAGCTGTGCAATTTCCGGAACGGGGGTAATTAGTAGATATAGTTATTATACGATAGTGGAATATGAACTATCGCAGAGAATTTCCTATCCTGTCAACTCCAACAAAAACATCTCTATCGCGTCGCCGATATTTTCCCCTTTTACTCTCGGCGCGAATCTTAAGCAATTAATTACAGTATGTAACTTTAGAATTGTTTATCTCTCTCCTCAGACTGAGATGGTTTGTCATGCATATTACTCCGCACTGGAAGTAGAATACTTCTCCTTCTGGCATTTCAAGCTCGCTGTGAGATGGATCCCTTCAAGATGATGTGGAGAAGGTTTTGGACTTCCGGTCGTCGAGATCAGATATAAGTACGGCTTTCTATATCCCTGTCTATGTCAATTCTTGATCTCATCCAACCTGCGCTGAAGACATCATATCGATATGATGTGATATGATCAGTATTTTGTCACTCATCTAACCCCTCTGAGCCAACTCCCCTATCCCTAGTCCCGTATCATGGAATCCTCCACGCTGCACGTTCTTCACGCCCTGCACGCTCTGGCCCAGGCGTCTTCCATCGCCGACTATGTCGCCCTCACCATCATCGCCCTCGCCGCCGCGACCTCTCTCACCCACGGCATCGTCTGGGACCGCCCCGATCCCTACCGCCATCTCATGTTCGAGCGGCCGCAACTCAAACACGGCGTCCAGACATCCAGCCGCAAAGAAACGAGGAACATCGCGCAGAAACTGGCCGACTCGGGGAGGAAAATCGTCGTCTTTTGGGGCTCGCAGTCCGGCACGGCGGAGGGATTCGCCCATCGTCTGGCGAGGGAACTGCCCAGTCGGTTCGGCGATGAGGCCAGTGCCATGGCGGCCGATCTATCGGATTACGATCCAGAAACCATTGCCCTGATCCCTAACACCGCGCTGGCCATCTTCCTCCTCTCGACCTACGGCGAGGGCGATCCGAGTGACAACACGTGGGACTTCTGGGATTGGATCACCAAGGACAAGGACGACACCAAAGGCATCTCGCTGTCGAACCTCCGATACTGCGCCTTCGGCCTCGGGAACAGCAACTACAAGCACTACAACCGCGTCGTCGACATCGTGACGGCCGCGCTGGACCGACTCGGGGCGCAGTCGCTCATGCCTGTCGGCAAGGCTGACGACGCAGAGGGCGGCACGCGCGAGGACTTCCTCGCTTGGAAGGACGAGCTGTTCCAGATGCTGGTCGAGAAGCTCGGCTTCGAAGCTAAGGCGCAGGCTAGCTATACGCCTGCGTTGTTGGTCCAGGAGGATGAGTCGCTTCAGCAGGTCGATCTCCATCGCGGAGAGCCTGAGGATATCATCAACAGCAACAACCGCCAGTCCGCCGCGAACTACTCCCCCGTCAAGTGCCTGACCGTCACCTCCGCCAGACAGCTGTTCAACTCGTCTGACCGGCACTGTCTGCACATCGAGCTCGACCTGACCGACCATCCGCAGCTGACCTACAAGACAGGCGACCACCTGGCCATCTGGCCGAGCAACCCCGACGGCGAAGTAGACCGTCTGCTTGACGTGTTAGGGCTGTCGCAACGACGCAACGTCCCGATCCATATCAAGTCGCTGGGTCGGGCGGCCACAACGACGAGACTCCCGATTCCGACGCCGACCACTGTCGAGGCCGTCTTCCGCTACTATCTCGAGATCTGCGCGCCCGTCAGCCGCGACCACATCCTGGAGCTGGCGCAGTTTGCGCCCACGGCACAGGCAAACGCCTATCTCCTCCAGATCGGGCAGCACAAGCAGGCGTATGCGGAGTTGATCAGCCGGACGCGTGTCATCAACCTAGGTCGTCTGCTGCAGCTGGCGTGTCCCGGCGAGACGTGGTCTGCTCTGCCGCTGTCCTATCTCATCGAGACGCTGCCACGCCTGCAGCCGCGGTACTACTCCATCTCGTCCAGCAGCGTCGTGTCTCCGCGCCAGGCGTCCATCACCGTGCTCGTGCCGGACGCCCACGGCCTCGCATCCAACTACCTCCTCGCGCTCGCCCAGCATCTCGAGTCCAAGCCGTACCCGCACGGCCTGACCTACCAGCTCAACGGCCCCGGCGACGCGCTGCAGCCAGGCAACAAGGTGTTTGCGCATCTGCGACGGAGCAAGTTCAAGCTCCCTGCGCGCGGCAGCAGTCCGCTGGTCATGGTCGCCGCAGGGACGGGGCTGGCGCCGTTCCGCGCATTCCTGGCCGAGCGGTGCCGGCTGAAGGCCATCGGGCGACCGGTCGGGGAGATGATGCTGTTCTTCGGCTGCCGGAGGCCGGACGAGGACTACATCTACCGCGAGGAGCTGGAGGCGATGCAGACGGCGCTGGACGGGCAGCTGCGCGTGGTGACGGCGTTTTCGCGGGAGACGGGCCAGCCGCGGCGGTACGTGCAGGACCGGATTGTCGAGTACGCGGAGGACGTGATCCGGCTGGTGGAGGATGAGGGCGCGAATGTGTACGTCTGCGGGAGAGCGGGCATGGCGCGCGAGGTGGAGAGGGCTGTGGGCGAAATGTTGAAGAAGGTGAAGGGATGGAGCGATGCGGAGGTTGACGAGTGGACCAGAGCTGCGAAGAGGAGGCTGAAGTGGCAGGAGGATGTATGGGGATAGTGTATAGACAGGAGATTAGATCGTGCATAAACGAAATTGAAAAGAAGGATAAACTCCACTACAACTTTATGAGTCAGCTATAAAAACGATTCATAAATGATGGACAAACACAACGAGATCGATAGCAAGGCCATTGAGAATCCTTACACCAGACAACTAGAGCTGAGGCAGCGACTACACTGATCATGCCCACACAGCGAACACGAGGAGAGCAGCAGCCAAACAGTAGTCAGCTGCACCAGGTATGAATCAATCATCATCGTCGTCGTCATCATCATCAGGATATCCACCAGAGCTTGGGCTACAACTCGATTAGCTCGTAATTCGTCGAGTAAAGCAAGATATGATAGACCGTATATGTAAAAGCTGTACAACATCTCAACCCGCGTCACCGCATACGGTCTGGCAAAGATCCAGGCCACGAACGTCATGCTACTTGCCATGACACTCCGGCCAAGTTCGGCGACAACACGGTATGCCCAAGACGGTTGTCTTCTGTTGTTTTCGATCAGCGAATCGAGCTCTTGCAACGACTGCGCAGTCGACGTCTGCATCGCCTGCAACGCCTGCGACAGCTCTTCGAGCCGGTGCCGGAGGCTGGTCTGGAGGTCGTCGCGCCCGATGGCATTTACAATCTCACCCAAGTGGTCGTGCAATCGGCGAATCGCGTCGAGGAGTTCTGCGGTCTTCTGCGACTGGGCTTTGATCAGCTCTTCGCTGCCCTGGATGACGGTGTCGCGTGTCTGTCGGCTGATCTGCTTCTGCTCCTCTGCCATCTGCTGCAGCTTCTCGATCTGCAACTTCAGCTGCGTTGGTATTCCTCGTCGTTGATGGCTCGAACGATTGTGTCCGAGTCCGCGGACAGAGAGTAGTCGGATGTCGACTTTGCAAGACTATTGATCACTTCGCTGTTTCACTCAGTCTGCTGTAGACTGAGCCTCTTCTATGTTGCCTAACATACCAAGATTGCAGTGCTAAGAGCGTATTTACCAACACCAGCGGCTCGTAAACAGCCTTCTTAAGCTGGGCGATCTTGCCCGCTAATTCCGACAGCTCGTGCAGCGCCCGCTGGATTTTCCTCGTCGTTCGTTTCGCCATCGAAGCAGTCGGATGCTCTCCCAGGGCAGCCTCATACTTGCCGAGGTACTCGACGAAGGACGCAAACGGGGGTTGAATGCGACGTAACTAACTGCTGCTCGATATCCTTCGAGTACTGGCTCTCTGTGTTGCTGCTGGTGGCGACGTACGCCTGCAGCCGGGTCAGAGTGACCTTGAATCCTTCCAGGAAGCTGGCTGCCTCTGCGAACTGGGCGGACGCGCCGGTTGTCTTGCTGAAGGCTTCGCGCAGTTTGAGGAGCAGCTTGATAGTTAGGGCGATGTCGCCGGAGGACCAGCCGAAATATGCGGGGACTACCATGACGTGTAGTGTGTAACTCGAATATGTGACTTTGCGAAGAGTACATGTACAGTACATATGGCCAGAGCTGCAGTTGTACATACCTGGTTCGTTTCAGCCTTGCGTTAGCCTGTCGACTACCGTCTGAAAGACCCCGCACGGGCAGCGAATGTGATAGCCATCCGTATATCAGCATAAACAAAAGAAGCTAGAGATAAACCTGGATGAAATAGATTCATGGGTTGTGTCTACAAACAGGCATTGGAAGCGAGCACGAGACCGGCAGCCTCGCCCTTGCCCTAGACCCTAACCCTAGTCAAGACAGCATCCTAACAAGTAGACAGTATACCTTACATATAGACAGTACATACATATGTACATATAAATATATGTATACATATATGTAATGCATCCATTCTACTGCAGATTCTGAGGAACCAGCTCGATAATGTAACCATTCTGCGTCGCGTCAGTATGTCAACCAGACAAAATCCATCAAAGCAGACGCTCATTTCAAGCATATACTATACTATACGAAACGTCGAACTCACCGGATCCTCCACATAAGCCATCTTCTCAGCAACACGGACGTAATTCGGATGCAGCTCCTTTTGGGCAATGCCCAACTGGTCACTCTCCCAGGAACCGATCTGTACCGTCTCCTTGATCACGACGCCCAGCTCCTTGACGATCCTGACGCCCGCCTGGCGCAACCGCTCCACCGTGGCAGATACATCGGGGACCGTGAAGCCGAGATGTCCGAAGCCGAGATGCGGGGGAATGTTCCCGTTGGCGATGTGGAATTCTTTGCTCTCGTCCTCTGACCCGTGCAGATGACACAGCTCCAGCAGGCCCAGCGTGTGCGTGAAGCCGGGGGGACCCTGGACCGTGTCGAGCGCGAACTTGGCCGGGTCTGCGCGATGGGCCTCCGTCTGCGGGTAGCCGAGGTAGTAGACCGTGGACGGGCCTGTGTCCATCTCCAGGATGGTGCGCATGCCCATCAGGTTGATGTAGAAGTCTTAAGGTGGGCTTGGGGTCGCGGATGTGTAGCATTAGGTGGTTGAGCTGGTAGCCTACTGTTGGGCTGGACTCGCTCAGGGGGGGATCAGGATTGCGGCCGCCGATGACCGGCTCCCCTGGAGGCAGAGAAGGAGCTGGATTGTCGTGTGAAGACATAGTATATATGGATATCCTAAACGAAGTTTAGGGTTTCCGCGGTCAGGAAGTGAAGAGCATGCAGTGGACAGCGTAGACAGCGTGCCTATTATATACCAAAGACAGACGTCAAATCAGTAACTAGGGAAAAAAAAAAGTGTATAATCAGAACGAGAGAACCACGATTGGGAAAAAAAAAAAGAAGAAGAAGAGAAAGAGAAAGGAAAAGAGAGGGAATAAATACTCCGCAGCTTATATATATACTCCGCGGAAGATAATAGACAGACAGACATATCTCTCTCCTAACTACTCATATCTTGCAGTAAGATTATAGTTTATCAGATCCACAGAGCTGAATAGCTGAACAGCATCAACAAAGCCAAGAAGGACGGCGCTCAATTCCGGGAAGGGAGCTACAGACGTCGTTGACTGTTGGACGCCTAAACTATTAAAAAATCTGTTCCGTTCGTACGGAGTAGTATCTACCCTCCCTGGGAGAAAGGCGATGGGTGGAATGGACGTTGAAACATTCTTTGCATGGACAGTACAGGGCATATGTTATAGTTCGATATGGACAGGACAGGACATAGTTTCTAGAAAAGGCAATTGAAATTGATTCTATTCTCCATCGAGATGGTTAGTCATCTATCCCCTTCCAAAGTCATAATAATAATGACTAGTATGCAATACTACATATATATCTCCCTAGCTCCGGAACATCTATCTGATGCTAGCACGGTGAATAATGTTGCAGCAGGTGGATTACTGACAAACTGTTTCTTGGCTGTTAAATTATTTAGCACGGTTCGATGTCCGTCACAACCCGCAACATACCTAGTTTAACTAGATATCGTCAAGGAAGGAAGAGGAGAACGGATCGAAAGGCCAAGGATTAGCCAACTTCCAGCGCTGTATTCCCCGGCGAATTGTCGGAGAGGAAATGATGCTGACACGAGTACATACCTCGCCTTTAGACCAAGCAAGGCAAGAATAGCCATAACCAAAGACAAGTAAATATTTATCGATTAAGGCCATCCATGGATTCAGACCTATGCAACCTGAGTATCGACTGTCGCGTCCATATCAACACGTCGTGCTTCCTACGACACATACTCCACAGCACCCGTTGCGTCTCCCAGATTATTCAAACAGCAGCAATACTAATGCCGGCAGACGGTTGTATTATAATGCAAGTAAACCAAACGCCCAATCCACACAGACAACAGATGATCCCGATTGGAGAAAAATTCATCAAGTCGTGACCTCATCGTGACTTCTAATCTTGCTTCCAGACGCAAGATTATATACCAGAAAAGTGCTTCAGGACTAGTCAGGACTATTAATGCTTCCAACTGTCAATGCTGTAATCATACGAGCTCAATCGCGTCTCCCCCTCGCTGGCTCTTCTCATCTGGTTCAACATCCGATCAATCTCGTCTCCCGCCTGAGCCTCAGGCCCGATCGGCTGCCCGCTAGAGACTGGTGCATTCCCGACGAACCCGCCCTTCTGCGTCAGCTGTGCATGCGATCCATTCGAAGCATTACTGCTCTGCGAGCTCTGCGTAGATCCCATCTGCGCTTCGATGCTCATGCTGACGTTCGTCTGTCGCGATTGGGAACTCGAATGATAGCCTGAATTCTCCGGACTGGACATGAAGAGCAAGGTCTCGATCGCATCCTGTTCCATCAGCGCATTCTGGGATGGTGTGCGGTGCTTGATCGTAGGCAGATTGCCCATGGCGCTGGGTGTAGACGCCGGGAGGGAGGAAGGGGGTGTGCCTGGAATTGCGGTGGTGTCGGGCCGGGATGCACGCGCCTGCTGTTCCGAGTAGTGACGGCGATGGCGAGGGTAAGGGTTGTACTCAGTAGTGGCATCCGTTGCATTTGGATTAGGACGTCGACGCGCGCTGCTCCCCCCGCTCGCTACAATGTCGGCAGGCGGCGCCAGTTTCGGGGCCTGCTGCGTGTGAAGCGGCGTGGTCTGCGGGGGTGGGAGACTCGAACGAGAAGTCTGTGGCCGGTACGATGAGGATGACGGGGCAGTTGATGTAACCGGGTTTGATGCGCGCGAACTGTCGTGTCGAAAGGAATCTGGCGCCGAAACGGTCGTCCCTTCTGGCGAACCGTTGTAACGTCGCCGGTCGCCCTCTCCCTGCCGTGTTTGCCAACTCTTTTCCACTTTCGCGGCCGCATACGAGAGACGAGCGCGGAGCTGGGCAGAGAGCTGAGAGAAAGCACGCGTCAGTACATCTCAAATCTAATACCACCACAAAGCCCAACCAGGGAGGATATTGACCTCTGCGATTCTAGAATCTGCACTCATCTTCCTCGCATGGATAGCTCCATTTGTAGCCGGGACCTGCGACATGGTGCTGGGCGCGGCGGGCTTGATTTCCCCCGTGGCTGTTCTCTTCTGTCCTGGAACCAGTTCCAGCCGTGAAGCAGTCGCCGTCTTCGAGGGACTGTTGGCCAGACGCGGCGCAGAGCCATTGCTCTGCTTCTCTGGCGACAATGGCTGGGAAACGGGACAATCAACGGCTGTGCGCATCGCGGAAGTCGCGGGGTCATTCAATCCGCGTCGTGGCGTCTGTTCGCCCGAAAATGCGCTCGCCGAGGCGGCAGTCAAGGAGGCTGGCTTCGCGTCCATCGCGCTGAAGGACGCGGACTGCGAAGTAGAGAGATTCCTCTTGGGAGACGCAGCAGGAGGAGGATCCCGCTTGGAGGGTGACGACGACAGTGCCGACGCGTGCGAGACAGCAACATCGACATCCGGGGTCCGGGCTGGGAGTGGAACCAGATCGTCTTGGGAACTGCTATGTCCGGCGCTCGCGATGTCGCCAGCCCCAGCAGCACCAGGCGGACCCGCCCCGTCTCCGCGTCCGTCGCGCAGTCTCGACGAGGCAGCAGGCGACGGTCGGAGCAAACCTGGTGCCTTGTTGGGCTGGATGAGGTTGGAGTCGTTCATGGCTAGTGCCTCGCCATCAGACAGCTGGCAGAGAGGCCGTATCTGTATTGGTAGGAGCTGTACTGTACAGTCGCGGTGACAAGAACGTCAAGTATGTACAGACCTAGCCTGGCCCCGGGCGAGGCGTCATCACCGGCTCTGAGGGCCACGCTGCAGATCTGTCGTCCCAATGACTCCGAAATCGGGCAATCGTGATTAATGGCGCGTCGAGAAGGAACGTGTCCGATGGCCTTGATTGTCCTGCGTTCTGCAGGCTGTGGAATTGCACGCTGATCGAAACTGGCACGAGCGCAGCGCCCGTTGACAGCCGGCTGCAGTCTCCACCGTCCGCAGCGAGGCCCAAGCGGACGAACCCGCGTGGCCTGGCGGGTCAAATCGAACGAGAGCGTGTCGGATTCGCTGGCAGCCGGCCGGAGAATCGGAGAGAGAGCTAGAATTATTGCTAATTAGTGGACGAGCAGCTGGATGCAACACGCAGCGCAGGCCAGGCCGTGGCAGCGACACAGTCGACGTAATCGCCGGGCGGCGCGCTGAACGCGTCCGTCACGCGGGTCACGTGGAGTGCCAGCCGCATTTCTCAGGCATCAACAAGGCACCGTTCAGTGTAGTGTAGATCTCGATATATAGATCTCAATATATACCAAGACATGTCCTATTCAGTGGCTTATGACGAGCTATCATCATCATCCAACATACACAAGCCAGTCTCAATTCAACGCCGTAAATGCATGCATTACAGTCCCATCCCATGTGTACAGGTACGTATATACACCAACCAACAACGACCAGTCCTCCCAGTCGAATAAATATAAATCACTTTCGCTTCTTCCCTCCACCTCCTTGGCCCTCCTGATTCTTGCGCTTCTTTCCTTCTCGTCGCCAGAACTCGTCTCGTTCCCGCTTCTCCCGCTCCGCCTTCTTCTCCAGACTCTCCGCCACCTTTTTCCGGTACGCCTGCCTTCGCTCCTCCTGCTTCGCCGCCCGCTTGGCCGCCTTTTCCTTGCGCAGCGTCGTCAGTTTCTGCATCAGGTCGCGCGCTTTCTTCTCCTCGCCGCCCAGGACCACCGCCCGCTTCTGCATGTACGTCTCATGCTTGCGAGGACGCATCTGCGTGATCTGCGACTTGAAGGGCAGGTCCGCTGCCAGCTGGCGAGGAACCCGCAGCGGATTGAAGTGCCGCTCCGGCCGTTCGATCGGCCGGTAGATCGATTCCTTCTTCACAGGCGTCGGGATTCCCTTTTCGCGCCGCACCTCGCCCGTCAGACGCATGCCTTGCCAGCCGCTGTCGCCGGCTCCACTCTCGTCCAGGTCCAGCAGGTTGGTGACCGGGTTGTAGAACCGGTGCGGTTTGATCGGATACCAGGCGCGCAGGAAGACAATGTCGCTCATCAAAATCTTGTCTTCAAACGTCGCACGGAAATGGCCCTCAGGCTTGCTCAGCGCCCGCTTGATCTGACCCCGGATCCCCGACACAGTGCGGATCGCAGCGCCTTCGAATTTGGCGATCTCTAGGGCCGAGTTAAACATGTCCTTGATGAACGCCGTGTTGCGGAAGATCTTGTACGGGAAACCAGTCAACTTCAGCTTCTTGACGATCTCCGTGCTCTCGTCCACACTGAGCACCACGCCCGTCGCCGCAATGCGGAACCCAGGGTTCTTGTTCGAAAAGGACTGGACGCAGCAGAAACCAGTGTTGGGCGCCACAAGGGGTCCGTAGAATGTCGCAAAGCAGTGCATGTGCTCTGGCGTGTACTTCAACATGCGGTTCCGCACCCGGTTGTCGGAGATGCTGTAGATCGGCAGCGTTTGGAAGCGGCGCCAACCCAGAGAGAAAATGAGCGGATCGTTGCTCTTGAGGATCTTCTTGTGCCATCGATGCCGCTTGATTCGCACTTGGACATAGCCAAACCGTTCCTCGGTCGGCGACAGGCCGCCAACGATGATCGGGAATCGCGGATTGAACTTGGTGGAAAACTCGCACGGCACCTTTTCGAGCACAATGCGTGCGTACGTCCCAGCCCGGTATCCTTCGACTCGCGCGCGGGAGACAGCATCGAGCGACTCGAACTCGGCCTTGTTGATGTCCAGTTGCTTCTGCAGTTGTGCCTTTTGCGCATCGTACCATTCGTCTTCGCCGAACTTCCGCTCCTCGGTAGCCTCACCTGGTTGGCGAGAACCGTCCTTCGAGTTGGCAAAACCCTCGCGATCTTCCTCTTCAAAGCGAAGTCGGAGCTCTTCCTTCTTCCTGGCGTTGCGCTCGCGCTCCGCCTCCATGTCGACAGAACTCTCGCTGTCTGACTTTTCGTCCTTTTCGTCCTTTTCATTCTTGCCTTTGAAAACTTCTCCAGTCTCGAGGTCCTCATATGCACCATCTCCCTCATCGTCAGATGAGCCCGCGTTTGAGCCATCATCGCCTCCATCAGCACCATCGTCGCCGTCACCTCCAGATAATTTGGCACTAACAAAACGACGACGCAAGGCCTCGATGGCGTCGTTGTCGCTCCATTTCTTTTCCAATTCGTCGTAGTCGAAGTCCGGGATCGCGCGATCATCCCACTGGTCCTCCTTCTCGACGTTGGTCTTCTTGAAAAACTCCTCCTCCCCGTCTTCATCCCGCGCCTCCTCATCTGCGTCCTCGTCATCCTCGCCTCGCCACCGTTTGATCACGTCAGCCGGCGATATGGATTCGTCATACAGCATTCGACTTAACTCGGCGACACGGAATTTGGGTCGCTTGCCATAAAGGGCCTTGGCATTTTCCAGCATGTTCTCCTTCCAGCGAAGCGCCCCATCATCTTCTTCATCCAGATCATCCTCGTCGAAATCCTCGTCCTCATCAGGACCACTTTCTAGTTCCTGGTCCTCGACTGGGGAGAGTGAGCCGAGATCTGAATCACTGTCCGCGAAAACAATGTCGCCTTCCTCGCGTTTCGCGTGCCCATTCTGCTTCTCACGGAAACGGTCGGCGAAATCGGCTGGGGGCTGTATATCTTCTTCCTCGCCTTCATCATCGTCGTCATCGTCGTCGTCGTCTTCATCTTCGTTCTCGTTTTCATCATCCTCATCATCACCACCATCTCCATCTTCGTCATCGTCTTCTCCACTCTCATCCCCTTCATGTTCATCCTCTGAAGCGAATCCATTGGCCTGCTCATCGTCCATGAATCTGACTTTTCGTTTTTCTTTTCGGCCCGTATCATTTTCTTCATCTTCCTTCTGAATGGTCTCGCCGCCATGGAAGAGGCGTACTCCTTCGTCTGCCTCGCCCAGCAGCTTCCGTTCATTCTGTAGACCCATTACCAACTGCTCTCCCAAGCCTCGTTCCTCATTCTCGCCCTGTGCGTCCTTGTCGAACGTTGAAGTTTTAACATCAATGTACACAGCATCCTTATCCACCAAGACACCGCCCACATCCGACATCGGCGCAAACAGTAATTTCTGCTTCTCGCCTAATCTTCGTTGTTTTGACTTTCCCGTCGCTTTGGCCATTTGTTGGTCCATATACGGAGTCGGGCAAGGGTCAGGGAGAGCTTCGATCGCAGATACGGTGAGATCGCCAACTCCCGGAACATGCACACGAGCTCCCTGCGCAGGGAAGTTGGTGCCGCGTAGATACCCATACAGGGCTACCGTCCGGTCGCACTTCGGATTTTCTTCGATTTGAGTAGGCGGGGTGATGTCGAGGAAGCGGTCTGCGAGGCAGTAGGGATGTGAATTCCGCCAAATCAACGGGCGGGGGTTTTTCATGACGGAAAGGAAGCGGGAGAGGTTGTGTATCTCTCGGTCCGGGTATCGCCCGTTGATGACACCAGACAGGTAGAAGAGCTTGGCGCCTTGGTAAAGCTCACTCCAGAAGCGATGCTTCAGCCGCTTCTTGGCGGTCCGCAATGTGCTCTGTTTCTTGAAGAGGTCGAGATGGGTGAGGATCCCAAACACGTTACCCGGCATGCCGCTCGCCGCAAGCACATTCAAGAACTCCATCGTCTCCATCTCAAACCCATAGTTCCCATCGATCATGAGCAACACGATGTCTGCGATCTTCGCTACATCAATCATGCTAGCCAGCGAGTCTGACGGACACTCGATGAAAGTGAGCCTGCGTCGCTTTGACGTGACGACAGTCAACGGCCCCTTCGGCGAGCTCAAAGTCTGTTTCGTGTACCGTCGGATCAATGACTTGATGAGAGTTGTCTTTCCGACCCCAGGAGGCCCAACCACTGTGACGACGAGCGGGGGAGCCTCCTCGGGGAGGCGGTCCACGAGGGGCACATGCAGCCGTTTTTCTTTGATCTAGATACCAAGGACAAGCGTCAATCCATGACCGCAAACATCAAACGGACGAGATAACACTCGTTAATGTAAATAAGAAAGCAGGAAATCGGAAGACGTACATCATGAGACCGTGCAGCTTGTCTCTTTCCTTTTCCCGGGTTTGCGATCGCAAACGCCTTCGGATTAGGGCCTATATAAAAAATAGCATCGCATTAGCAATCGCATAATTTGTCTCAAGAAAAGAAAACCCCAGAGATTATCGTCTAGGAAATATTCTGTTCGCAGAAAACGCAGTTGGAGACAGACAGAAATCTCCGCGGAAAACAGACACACACATACCATCGTACTTCTTTTTCTCCTTGGGCTTGCGATGGGGTTTGTTGGTTTGCTCCTCCATCTTGACGGCAGCTGGAAGCAACTCTTCTCGTGCGAACGAATTTCCCTCCTGGTCGCACTCGAGAGCCCCGATCACCCTGCTTCGACCACGGCAATTCTTTCTGATGCTAGGCCAAAATTATTTCCCATTTCCGCTCTCGTCGGATCGGAATTTCCCTCTCGCCGGCTTCACGAGACGAAAAAGTTTCTGGGCGGGTTGGATGGGCCCCAGCCAGATGCCGCGCTAGTCCGACTACGGAATGTTTATCCGTTCCTCTTGTGATTAGGGCTTTGCCCTGACGCTTATCTGTTCCCGTCCGGCGTCCCTCTCCCCGGCTCCCCGGGCCGGGTCATCATGGCTGATAATGTCGATGATGAGGCGCGGGGCGCGGGGCTTCAATTAAGATTATTACTTAGGTAATAATAATAGCCTTTATTTATCTTACGCTCCCAAGTCTTGGTCGTGAAGATGAATCACACATCTTTGCCAGTTTTCCATTGTTGGAGATTGACAATTGAGCGTGGTTTTCGCTACAGTCGATAGATACCTATCATGGCTACCCCGCGTCGCCCTCCTCCCGCGTATAACGCTCCTACCTCGACCGTGCACGCGTCCTTGGAGGTTTACAGAAAGGTCGCTGCGACTGCATCAGACCCTTCCGCTCGCAAACTTGAAACTTCATTTACCATCCGTCCCTGCTCCGGCCAGGCATGGACTGTCCGGGCCGGGCAGGTGTGTCGGATCACCACTCCAAAGGGACCGCAAGTCGGGGATCTGAACATTTGGAACGCGCATAATCCCCGCGAGCGCATGTGGGCGGCGCGCACTCGACAAATACACAGCTCGCATGTCTCAGTTGGGGACCGCCTGTGGTCCAACCTCCCCTATCTCCGGCCGCTGGTCACCATCACCGGGGATTCGCTGGGCGGCGGACAGCTGGACCAGGTGCTGGGTCCGGATGGCAAGAGGAAGGATGGCGTGGGTTTCAAAACGACCCAATGGGGAGGTCGTGTTCACGATCTCCTGGGCACCCGGTGTGACCCCTATGTCAACCTGCTCATGGGAGGAGAGAGTTTCGACTTCCACTGCCATTCGAACTTGACGCGGGCTGTTCTTCCATACGGTCTGACGGAGCTTGACGTACACGATGTGCTGAACGTGTTCCAGGTGACAGGACTGGATGAGGAAGGAAAATACTTCATGGAAACCTGTCCCGCGAAAGAAGGGGATTACTTTGAGTTCTTCGCAGAGGTGGATGTGCTGTGCGCACTCTCGGCTTGTCCAGGGGGTATGTACACACCGGAATGATCATGATACTGTCATGCTAACCACTGGATTTCGCATAGGGGATCTCTCTGCCTGGGGTTGGGAAGACAAGGCAGGAGGCGATATGGCCGCAACCTGCCGTCCTCTAGGGGTCGAGGTGTACAACCTGACAGATCCGGGAATCCTGGAGGGATGGAAGGAACCCGAATTCCCCAAATATACTGGCATGCATGGCATTAGAATGCCTGCTAGAAATGATGCGGATGGAACAAATTACACCGGAGTGTAGCATCTCTCGGTGCCGAGGTAGAAGAGCGGTATGCCGAAAGGGTATTTACACAAGCTCATCAAATGGGGGCTCGCACCATCGTCCGTTTTGATAATCAGTTCCACAATGGAGGGGTATAAAGGGGTATCAAGAAATATATCTGTGTACAGTTATGCAAGTCGGGAGCGCCGATCACAGCTCTGCGGTGCAAGAGTAGTTCATACTAATCCACACAAGTAGACTTTATGATGGCAGAAGTCAGGGGGTAGCAGTCGCGTGATGAGACAATAAAGTATTGCAATCAATTCTCAACGAATCGACGGATGTCCAGAGCCAGACATGTAGGTATGTACCTGGGTAGATTTGCCCTCTGATGGACCCATTGTGTTACAGACGGTTGACGGTGAAATCAAGAGAATCCCAACCAAACAGTTAAACGGTCGAACGGGGACCTGCATGCATGGTGGAGAATGTCCATTTATTTTGCAGAGCAGACCAGTCATCGAGCCTGGAATTAAATGCTGCCTCCAGGCAAGCGACCCTGGGAGAAGCAAAACTCTTGCTTGCATTTGCACAACGGAAGCCGAAGGGAGAGCAGGATCATTAGACACCTGAGGCATCAACGCCTACCCACGTGATTGACCCCGCGTCCGCCGCGCCAGGGCTGCAGCCGCAACGTCATCGTCAGGGATCTGCATTCGAGTCAATGTAGTCAGGCCCAACCCTGCAGGACGATGCAAGTGCATCTTTTCGACCAGACACATGGGTAAAATGCCTCACCGGCGCTGAAAGGGACCAGAAGGGAAAATTTCGAGTCTTGTAATGTGCCTGCTGCATGTAGTACATTATTGTATGATTAAGGTTCCAATAATAGCGAGAAAACCAGGGTATTAATGCCGTTTTCAGACTTTCAAGCTTACATACAGGCCTTATCATGTGGGATCACCTAACAGTTTTCTTTGCGCCAAGCCCCCCCCAAGTCGAGTGCTGAACGCTTGCGTAGGGCAGTTTGCCAACCTCCGCCTGATTGGAAGTACCTTGTTATCGCCATACCCGCGTCTCGGGTTGAGTCAGGACACTGGCCCGCCCTATACTATAAAGCTGTTGCCTTCCCTTGCCCCATCCGTCTCTGTCATCACTTCTGCTCCTTAGCACGCAAGGCACCGCCCCGAGTGACGTCTTGTCTTCTATCTTCCAACGCTCCCACTATCTTCTGGCTCCTTCATACCACACTGAATACTGATACCCGCTGCCTCTCCATTGTTGCCAGACAACTTCCCCCGATCAACGAGCCAAAATGCCGCTGTTCAATGTAGGTAGTCGGCATTCCGGAATATGTTGACTGCTCAGTCTTGCTAAGCCGTGTCTAGGTGACTCTGAAGAAGGATGCCTCCCCGGAGGAGCTGGAGAAGTTTGCCTCACTTGCCCCGCACCGATAACCACACCATCTTCTCTGTGTTAGAAAGGGTCTCGCTGACACGATTCTGTTGACTCGATTCAGAGCGAAGCAGCAAGCTAAGGAACAGGGGGGCGTGATTAAGCACGAGTACACCCTCATCAAGGGCTTCACGTAAGCGATACCTTTTGGCCTCTTCTCTGCCCCTCCTCTCCGCCCATGAGAAAAACCTCCACTTCTCCTTCCGGGACGTCTCGCTTTTTTGGCTGAAATTGGTATGACTAATGGGAAGATTGCTTCGTCCACAGTGTTGAATACCCAGAAGACCAGGTCAGCGTGCTTCAATCCAACGAACATCTCCATGTCGAGCAGGACGGGGAGGTCAAAACCCAGTGATGCGCTTTGGAGACAGAGATACCATCTGTTGGCTGTGGAGAGCCCGGTTTGGTGAGAACAGATCAGGTACCTGGCTACACAGGCCAGACTGCCTTGGTCGGTTCGTCACTGTCGCAACTAGGCCCTCGAGATAGATAGACGGCGAAAGATGCATGGTTTACGAAAAACGATATCCAAACGTCCAGCGGGTTTTCTTTGATTTTCCAAATGATGGTGGTCATGTTTTACCTTTTGGTACGAGCGTGACACATGGGTGGGAGGGCGATCTCTACTATTTTATTTCATAAAATTTTATACATAAATATTATGTATGTACACGACATGAACAATAGTATTCTAGCAACGGGAATCGATTCGAGTGCACTGCCACTCCCTGACTGAACAAAATAAGGCCAGCTACTCAATAAGCAAGATTAGCTTAGCCTTAGCACCTGGTGTATGAATGTAGAATAATGAATGCCCAAAGGCTCCTTTTTCCCCTCTGTGCGCCTGCGCCTGGTGGTATCATGTTAGCCGCGATAAGCTGAGCAATAATATCAATGTGGGGTGGTAAACGTAACTAGAGATGGCCGTAATAAGGTAGTAGTCTACTATTAAGTTTGCAGTATCGCATGACATGTCTCTGTCAAACAACCGGTGAGTATTCGCCTGCCTCAGCCTTTCAAACAAAGCAAACCTTACCAGGTAGGTACCTACCTAGGGAGGACTATCAATAGAAAGATGGAAAGTGTATATTTTGTCTAATTCAATGACAAGGTAAAATAAACTTGAAACACTCCTGACGACGGGCCCATATGCTTAGGATATTTTCCACATTATAGTTTATATAGCGTTAGAAATGGACACTAATGCAACGTATTGATTTAATGCCCTAAAGGCAAAACCAACATAAAAAAAGAATGACAGTGAGAGAAACCTTATACTTCTCGTGTCACAGTCGTCTTGGAAATTATCTATTTCTGCAGTTCATGTCGTACCGGGTACCTGAGTAAGTATTACTGGTGTCACACAGCACGAAAGGGTCCCTCATTTTGACCTAGAAAATGCTTTATAGAAACAAAAACTAAAAAAAAAGGACTTGGTAATCGTTTACGCCTGGAGCGCTTCATCTTATTAAGGAAGTATCTTCATTGCTTCGACGCCTGCTAAGGCGCATTTGGTGTCGAAAGCTTTTCAGAATCGAGGAGGTTCTTTGATCTTCCTATGGCTGTTTTATGAAGAACAAAGAAACCCTACCTTTTAATGGAGTCTGGTAATTATTATTTATCGAGTTGGCATTGGTAAAGTTCTCAAGTAGAGAAATTCGGTTTGAAGCCAATTGGAGGGTATGTTTTTGTCATAACCTGGGGTTCTGGCGTTCAGCCTCCATGTTTGTTTACCAGGCAGAAAACTTTCAGAACCTCCTGTTGACATCAAGGCGTTCCAGACGGAGTTTTCCTTAACTTTTTTTTTTGGTAATGTGGTAAGGTTATTCACTTAGCACTTTTGATGTTTACCTCTATCGCGTACTATCGCACCTTCCTCCTCCTTCTGTCTTAACAGTCACTGCACGCACAAGTCACCTAATATCTTGTCTTACTGTACTATCTCGCCCGTCACTGGCCTACTAGATGGTGATATTTGGGCTATTTGTGCTTGATCTTTTCCTTGCTTGGTGACTCTCATAGCAGTGAAGTTAACCCTCTCTCTTCGCCCAGGCTCTTGGATAGTGACAGACTTCCAAATAACTGAGGTATAAGACGAGAGCTCGCGCTACAAACCAGATTTCTACGCCGAGACAACAACCTCTTTCTTCTTCAAACATCTAGAAATCAGTGCGTCAGCCCACCATGGCATCAGGCTGGGCCATCCGGCCACCCCAGTCATCCTGTCCAATGGAGACTTTATCTTCATGCCCAAAGTCGACAGAGTCTGCAGCAGCCAAGATACTGGCCAAAAAGTCAAATGAGGAGGCATCAATCGAAATATGTGGACGCCTCCCTGTGGAAATCCTTCAACATATTTTTATGTCCCTTGATCTCGCCACTCTCCACTCTGTACGACAAGTCAACAGTTTCTACCTTTGTGTGGTCCATCAAACGCCAGCCTACAATCTTCTCAGCAAACATGCTGCTGAGACACTGCAGATCATGCATCTCACCGACACAGCTCGTTTCTTCTCTCTTCGCCGTGTCTTTGACGAGTTCTGCCAGCCACAATGTCAGACCTGCGGCAATTTCGGTCCCTACATTTTCTTGCTGAACTGTAAGCGATGCTGCTTCAAGTGCATCCTGACCTGTAGCAAGCATCTGTTAGGGCCAGTCTGTGATCTTTCTGAACTCTTCTTTATACCAGCGTCCATCCTCGACAAACACCTTGTCACACTGCGTAGTCTTCCTGGTGAATATGGTTTCCCAGAGACGCAACTATGTATGCAACGAGAGTGGTTGACCAGCTTCACTGCCGGTTTGGACTTGAAAAAGACAGTTTACAAAACTCGGGAGGAGGCGGAGAAGGCTGCTGTCACCTTTCAAAATTCTCCAGAATGTGACATGCGACGACCGATCTGTTGGCCAGAAAGGGGAAAAAAGTCAGTTTATATCAACAAGCTGCGCTTAATGGGCTCGACTCCTTTTCCGTTCTGGGATAAAGAGAAACGGACTGTGGAGTCAGGAACTTACTGCGTCGGTTGTGTATGGCACCATAAGCACACGCCTTTCTATGCAACTCGAGCGTATTTGATGTGCAATCTTCCACAACATTTTGCCAATTGTCATTTCGCTGCTACATTTATGTCACTGCCACCACACACCAAAGCACAGGTTCTTTCGGAGTTTGGCGAGAAGTTCTTTGTTAACGCTGATGGCCAGATTGGAGATATCCCGCCTGAAGAGAAAATGGAGAAAGAAGAGGGAAAGGGCAAAGGGAGTTTGTTACTGCATGACAAAAATGCCTGCTAGCAATGCGAATTGATGATGATTGGAGGTGATTTTCTGGATTCATATCATATGAGCTCACAGGAGCATTTGTGGGACAGAAACTTTTGAGTTTTTGAACTATGACACCGATCAAAAACACAGAAAAAGAAGATGTCTTTGATTGTCATGTGGTTATTATCACCCTCATCTTCTCTTACTCCTGCTTCTGCTAGTGCTGCAGTTGTATGACCTCTTTTGGTGGATGGATGATCTGGATCTTGATCGTTATTCCTTCTTTTTTTCCCCCATGATGATTATTGATGTCTTTCAGAAAAGCAGCTTTTTCTCCCCTGTCTACCTCCAAAAACATAAAAAAAAGTATCTCCTTCATTTTTTTTACCAGAGAATGGAATAATAATTTATTAGCCTTCTTTCTCGTATTCCCGTAAAATTCCCTGTTCTGGCCAAGCGGAAGACAGTATACCAAGGGCAGCGCCACAGCGCAGAATATACCAAGGCGCCAAAATAAGATGCTGATTTCCTCAGGTAGTATTGGGTTTGTCGCAAACTACGTATGAATAAAATACGATAAGAAGGTACAGTTGTGAAAAATTCGAGTTAACGGCAGTGTCGTATCTCACCGCCTCGGCTCGGCTCCCCGCGGCGATCTTAACTACCGGTTGAATCAGGTCGAGTTACTTCCGACTCCCACCTTCCACCCTGTACATTCTTCTCATGTAGTTTGATACCCGTGAATGCTGGCACGATGGCTAGATACGGTCATGGCGCCCCGACCAGTTCGTTTCACTCGTCCAATCTCTGCGACATGTAAGCGCTCCTGCATCGCATGGTTCGCCGCCCGTCCGACGCGTGATCGCGCCTATTCGAATTCGACTGCATCCCAGAGTTGGAGCAATCCTCCCTCGTGGACCAATGTCGCAGAAGATGAAATCGCAAAGCTGGCGGCCATTCGTCGCCGGCCATTGACTCTTGGGGATCTCCTCAAGTGAGTGGACCTTGCCACCAAGTACATGTCCTCTACTTAACTGTCGACTGACACATGCAGGCACGGCCGGCCGCCGTTATCCAAGGATGCTCTCCTCGACTCTGCCAACTTCACGCTGTCCCTCCTGCCAGCCCGACTGGCGTACCGGATCCAATGTCTCCGAAACCTGCCCTTCATCGTAGTCTCCAACCCGCACGTGTCCCGTATCTACAACAATTACCTGCACTCGCTCTCCACACTGCTCCCATACCAGCAGAGGCGAATCACTACCTTGGAGGAGGAGAAACAATTTGCAGAGGTCCTGGCGGACTTGGTCCAAACCCACACAAACACCATCCCTGTCCTGGCGCGGGGCTTTCTGGAGTGCAGAAAGTATATCAGTCCGGCTGAGGTGACCAGGTTCCTGGACTCACACCTACGTGCCCGGATCGGGACTCGATTGATCGCGGAGCAACATCTGGCGCTGCACTTTGCCTCCCAGCCCATCAGTGATGAGGATCCCAACCCCTCGCCAGACCAGCGAGAAGCCGTGCCACCCAATTATATCGGCGTGATTGACACGGCGCTGTGCCCTGCTCGCATCATCCGGTCATGCGAACATTTCGTGGGCGAGATCTGTGAGCTGAAATACGGCGTTCGTCCTCGGCTGGTCATTGGCGGGGAGCCCGATGCCTCGTTTGCCTACGTCCCCGTGCACGTGGAATACATCATCACAGAGCTTTTGAAGAACGCATTCCGGGCTGTGGTTGAGTCCGGAAACGAGCGTGAGCCAATCGAGGTGACCATCGCGGCAGCACCAGATGTGCCTGGGAATCATGTACAGGAAGTTTCAGATCGGCCCGCCGATGCCAAGTCCCCGAAAGGCACTGAGGATAACAACAATGGAGAGGTACCAGTGGCGAACGAAAATATTCGACTAACGAGCTCCTCGTCGCAGAGCATCACGATCCGGATTCGTGACCGAGGCGGCGGCATTCCACCTGATGTATTACCACATATCTGGTCGTACAGCTTCACTACTTATTCCGAAAATGACCTTCCCGGGGGTGATAACGGCAACATCGATGCGCTCAACACTATATCTGGCAGTGGTGGGAACTCGAGCACGATTGCAGGACTGGGCTATGGCCTGCCGCTAAGCAGAGCGTACGCGGAGTATTTCGGCGGCAGTATCGCCGTGCAGAGTCTCTGGGGATGGGGGACGGATGTCTACCTCACCTTGCAGGGCGTAGGGAAGATTGATGAATAAATGATAGCGATATGGAATGAAGAAATGCAAACGCATGTCTCTGCGAGATTGTATCTACGTCTGCATGCCTGTACCTGTTGTATGTAGGGAAATTATCACCTACTGCTATGATGTAAAAAATTAGAATTAGAATGCAGCCTAGCAGACACAAGGACCTTGTATACGGTCTTCTTCTTGTTTCTGACAACGCAGACGATGTGGGCGATTGTACTCCGTAATTATGAGAATCTCAGCTGGTGATACCCCTGACAGGGTCGACATAATAGTCCCTCGTTGGGTGAGTCCCCACAATTGTCGCAATTTGTGAACATCAACTCCTGTCAGATGGCCTCCCAAATGATAGTTCAATTCACATTAATAAATGCCTAATTGCTCGGCTACACCTCCCTCCCTTGTTAGGTTAGTTTTGACTCCCTATCTGTTTTGTATGGTGGAAGAGAACACTTAAAAAAATTCTGTCTAAGAAGCCTCCACTGAAGCTTTAATTAAGGCCTCTAAGCCTACCCTAGGTGTTCCCTAAGCTCCCTATAAAGCCCCCTATAAGGCTTGTTATAAAGCTCACTATAAAGCTCATATGAGACCTATAATAAAGCCCTATAGGTTTTTCAGGGGCTTCACTATAGGCTTTGTAAGGGCTTCGCTATAGGCTTCACGGGTACTTTATAGATTTACCCCAAAAAGGAAGGGGGGTGCATCCGAGCAATTTTGCCCATTAATAAATTTGAGCCCAGTTAACCCAACAGACAACCACTTAGTGTACACTGCTATCTACATATGTAGTTTATTCAGTGATCTACCTAGGTGCATTTCATTCTATGTCAAACCCTCTTCTTTCCCATGAATTTATACCTTTCTAAGTTAATACCGACCACCTATGATTTGCACACAAATCAAAGACTTGATGAAAACAACAATTGAGACAGAAACAACGCAAAGATGCTTCTGGATCTCCCTCTAGAAGTTCCTGCAGGCGATCTTCGCGCAGGTATAGACTTCGAGTCCTCCAATACCCAGCAATACCCTGTTATATATGGCTAATTTGAGCAGTTGAACAAGAAGGACCTCAAACATCTGTGCCAAGTGTCGAAAAGTCTCCATAATATCGTCACCCCCATCTTGTGGGAGTCGATTACTATCAGGGCGAAAAATGAAGAGACCCGGGTGGACATCAATGTGGAACCATTCCTGCGTGCACGCGATCGCCTTCAGCACGTCAAGCACATTCGAATCACATATAAATTCTACGATAACCGGAATACAGGACTTCTTGGAAACGTTTCAGGGTCTCGAAGAGCTTTTCTTCTCTGCTGACTTGGACTCTTATTTGTATTCAAGAGCAGTGAGTCTTTGGCGTGCTGCGCTTCATCATAGGTCTACCCTGAAGAGAGTTGTCTACTACGAAAACATCCAACATATTGGCGGCCTGACATGGAGAAGATTGCAAGGCGGGAGGGTCCGTCAAGAAAACATCTTCGTGGTCTCAACTTGGAGTGTATTGGTGTTTTGCCCCTTCCTAATGACGTACTGGTACGAGACCTCAGAAATCAGCCAAAAAAAGAAAAGAAAAGAAAAGAAAGCTGACATTTACCACCGCATTTCATAGAAGACCATTCTCTCTCGTCTAGAGAAGCGCTCAATACGGATATTACACTTGCGGCAGTCGGGCACACAGCTTGCACGAGCTGATATACCGAACCTGGGTGTACGTAAGGATTTTTTCGATCTAGCTGCCGGCTCAGACAACCTTCCCCTTTCCAGGTCACTGCATGATCTCGCGCAGTGGGCATTCGGTCCGGATGGATTACCATCACTCCGCGTGATTGCCCATGGCGACTTTTTAGACGAAGGACGATATCGGAAACACAACGTGCTTCTCTGCAGGGACAGTGGTTCGTCTCAGGGTCTCAACTTTCGACGTGTGGTCGGTACCGAGATGGATGAATTACTCTTGGATCTTTTCGAAGAGTACTCGGACTTTCTGCAGGCTTGCCCTCCATCTCTCGATCTATATGAGTCAAACAGCTGGTGAAGTGAAGAGCACAGCAACTGAGCGCTCGTACAGGCTCCAATGATATGTTCGACATTGAACACTTTCTTTGCTGTGATGAGTAGCTCACCTAGACGTGTCCGCGTGAAATCAACGCTCAAGTGTTAGTGTTTGATTCTATTATAAAAACGAGTATTACTTGAAGTGGAATATGCACTCCTGAGTTAATAGGATCTAGAACTGCATATTTGATCCAGCGAGAATCTAGACTTCAGACTTTCAGCTGATTCACACACGTGACAAGATCAGTTACGCATCTACCCAAACAGTATGACTCCTCGCTGCACCAACATGGAAAGTCTACTCGTAGCTTCCCGCGGAAAGAGACGGGCCGGAGCATCTCCAGATGGGCCGTTGCGGGCAAACACTTAGGCGCTCCAGCATTTCAAGCATTTACAGTTAACAGAGAAACCCCACAGCCAGCTAGCGGTGCTCCGTTCCTCGTACCGGAGGCGCTGGGAGAACCCCGCCGCAAGAACAGTAAACCCACCTGCCGATGCCCTGTCCCGAGTAAGGCTCGCTCCTCACTGAAGCTTACCCTTCCCCACATCGCTGTATCTCGCTCCTTGTCTTGCACCCGGATACGAAGCCGATCCCGCTTACGTATATATCCCGCCCTCCTCGTCGGCGCTTACGTCCCTCTCGCCATAGCCATCGGGTTGTCTTTGACCTTGGCTTGCTCAGGCTTTCTGCCCTCCTTCGCGTTCGGATCTAGAGCTGCCTGAGCAATCCAATTCTCACGATGTAGGTGTCCTGCCATCGCCAGAACAAGATCAATTTCACGTGCTGACCAACGCAGGGGGTACACTGCGTCATTCGCCTTTTTCGAGGCTCTCTGGGAGGTACAGTCGGGCACATCTACTTCTCGAGAGACCGCAGACTAACGTGCACTGCAACAGGCGGGAGTTACTCATGTCTTTGCCAATCTGGGATCGGATCACCCTTCGATCCTCGAGGCCATGGTAAAGGGCCAGAGGGAGCGTAAGGACCAGTTCCCGACGGTCGTCACCTGTCCCAATGAGGTAATTACATCCCCGTCGCATGCCTGCTCGGCTACTGCCGGCAATCCGTGCAGTCAGCGCTAACCCCGCACCTTACCCCTCTCTGCTGTCTAGATGGTTGCCCTCTCCATGGCCGATGGTTATGCTCGCCTTACTGGGAAGCCGCAGTGTGTCATCGTCCACGTCGATGTCGGAACGCAGGGTCTCGCTGCGGCCGTCCACAATGCCTCCTGCGGACGCGCTCCCGTCTTGATCTTCGCCGGCCTCTCTCCCTTCACTCTCGAGGGGGAGATGCGGGGTTCGCGAACGGAATATATCCACTGGATCCAGGATGTTCCAGACCAGAAGCAGATCGTGTCGCAGTACTGTCGCTACACGGCGGAAATCAAATCCGGGAAGAATATCAAGCAGGTCGTGAACCGGGCCCTGCAATGGGCGACCAGCGATCCAAAGGGCCCCGTGTATCTGGTCGGGGCCAGAGAAGTGATGGAGGAAGAGATTGAACCCTACAAGCTCGACCAGAGGCAATGGGTGCCCATCTCACCTGCGGCGCTGCCCCCAGATGCGGTAGAAATGATTGCATCCGAGCTGGTCGCCGCCAAGGAACCTCTCGCGATTGTGGGCTACAACGGACGAGCGGCGAGTTCGGTGAAAGAGCTGGTCACCCTGGCTGACACGGTCAAGGGCCTGCGTGTTCTGGACACTGCGGGAAGTGACATGAGCTTCCCTGCGGATCATCCTGGTTGGATAGGCATGCGCTTTGGCAATCACGACGCCATCCGGACTGCGGATTTCATCTTGGTTGTCGACTGCGACGTGCCATGGATTCCAACCCAGTGCAAGCCATCGGATTCGGCCAAGATCGTCCACATTGACGTGGATCCGTTGAAGCAGCAGATTCCCATGTTCTATATTCCTTCCATTGCCACCTTCAAAGCCGACTCCACGACCGCTTTCAGACAATTGAACCAGTACATCTCTTCGAACACGACCTTGTCGCAGGCGGTCAATAGCGACGAGTTCGCCGCTCGCCGCAAACGCCTCGAGGAAGAACACAAGCAACGACTGCAATCGATTGCGGAGCTTGCTGCTGTCCCCTCCGGCGGTGACAATGCCTACCTGAACGTTTCTTACCTCACTGCGCAACTGCGAAAGGCATGTCCTCCGGATACAATCTGGGCGATTGAGGCGGTTACCCTCACGTCCTTCGTTGCGGATCAGCTTCAATGCAGCATCCCCAATTCCTGGATTAACTGCGGGGGTGGAGGTCTGGGTTGGTCTGGTGGCGGCGCGCTGGGCATTAAGCTTGCGACAGATGCTCAACACGGAGGCAAGGGCAAGGGCAAATTCGTTTGCCAGATCGTGGGTGACGGAACCTACCTGTTTTCCGTCCCCAGCTCGGTCTACTGGATTTCTCGGCGCTACAACATCCCCATTCTGACGATTGTTCTCAACAACAAGGGCTGGAACGCTCCCCGGAGGAGCATGCTGCTTGTTCACCCGGACGGCGACGGGTCTCGCGCGACCAACGAGGAACTTAACATCTCTTTTGCTCCTACGCCGGATTACCCTGGTATTGCTAAGGCCGCTGCCGGTGGAGAGTTGTGGGCTGGCCGAGCCAGCACGGTGGCAGAGCTTGCCGACGCGCTGCCAAAGGCTGTGGAGAGCGTTCTCAATGGCAAGACGGCCGTTCTGGAAGCGCAGCTGGACGGGACAGAGGGGAAATATACTGAGAAGAAGTGATGGTAAACGCGATCCTCATGCAATTGACACAATTTCGGCTAGAGTTAAATAGCACTGGTAGATGAAACCAATATACAATGACGATTATCCATCCTAATCTTTGTTTTTTTTTTCTCCCCAATGTGAATACTCCGTAGTACGTAGAAGGTATTCTCTGTAACACAGGTATGTTGTACTGCGGGGCCAACAGTCGTTATCGATAAGCAAGCACGGAAACGCCTGCCGCGGCCGCCCTTCTCCGCTCTTAGCCTTCGATAAGCGAACACGTGCCTTTCTTTTTTAGGCTATCCAAACACTTGTCCCGGGCTGAGTCGCTGACAGTCTGGAGGTGAAATACGGGGTATGCGTAGTCAGATTATTATTATTAATGTTCATTTCCCCATCCACGAAGTAATTCTCTGCTGTTCATCGTGTTCGGTGCGATCCGAGCTCGGATCAAGAGAGCAATCGGCGGGACTGCCAAGCATTGATGACATAATCCGAATGACCGATCGGAGTCGTTCGTATTGTAAGGTTTCCCTCGCATTTTTGACCAGTCTAGGCTCTAGAGCGCTCTGATACTTTGGCAGATCTAGTGTCTGGTTTCAAGTTGCGAGCTAATTGAGTCATTGACCCACGTCTTCGCGATCAGACGCTGTCTTGTCATACGCAGGGCGTAACTCTCTTATCGGATCTGTGGCGGGACGAACGAGGACACCGCCTCCGACAAGCATCTTATTTTACTAGCGGAGAAACAACTAATAAGAAGGTTGACTCCGAATTGCTCGAGCCTCTCTCTCTGTTCAAATTTCGCCTTTGCCCCCCGCCCTCTCCGCTCGCGCCAGTTAGTTGATCTCATACCTGGCCACAATCGCGTCTTATTAATTTAGTTTTAACGCACTCCGGTTTATTTATAATCTTGGACCAGTTGCGGAGCGAGAGAGCAAGCATTGTCGTTTTATTGTACCGAGACAAGACGCCAGATACATTTATTTCCCCACGATGAGCCCCGGTCCGGTCGATATCGAAGTCAAGGGCGAGACGGATACGACCTCCGTCGTCGTTCCTGAGCCGCTCACCGTCGATGACGTGACGGCGTGGAGAGCGAAGGGGTCCGTTCCCACGGGCACGGCGGCCGCTTCCAACAGCGACATGTTCAAGAGCCCGGTACGACCTTCCTTTCCTCTCATTCTCAGATTCGAAATGGGCGACTTTATGCGCCGTATTGCTTGTTTACTTCCACTGACAATTAGTCACTTCTCTCTCTAGGCATGCTATACCAAGCCAAAGGCGAAGCGCTGGGATCGTGAGTCATAATGTTCCCCGTGCTGCATTAGTGGCAGTCCAGTCTTGCTGTCCATGCCAGCAAAGAAGTCCTGCTAATCCAATGGCTGATAGATATCATCTCCACCGAGGCAAAGTCCCGACAGGTAAGCTGTGACGTTCTCCCTCAACTCCGGAGCCGAAGCTAAAGGGCTCTAGCCGTCGACTCTCAAAGGAGCCGCCAAATATCTGAAGAATCCAGGTATATGACCAATCATATTCCAATCCCGTCTTCGATGTCGACGTGCAATTGCTCACCGTGCTTTAGGCTTGATTTCTCTGGGCGGTGGTCTTCCATCCAGTGAGAACTTCCCCTTTGAGGAGCTCTCCGTGAAAGTCCCTACTCCTCCGGGTTTCTCTGAAGCCGAGACACGGGCGTCCGGGACGGTTGTGAAAGCAGGGAAGCATGACATCCGGGAAGGAACCAGCGTATATGGTGAGGCTCTGTCCTCCACTGGTTAAAGAGAAAGCCTTGCTGACCTGTAATTCCAGATCTGGAGGTCGCTCTCAACTACGGACAATCCGTGGGAGCGGCTCCGCTGTTGCGTTTTGTAACAGAGCACACTGAGGTCAGTATGATGATTGGTTGATCATCGAGCAGATACTGAACCAGGACAGATCGTGCATCGACCTCCGTACTCTGATTGGCAATGTTGCCTGACCGTTGGAAGTACCGTCGCGTGGGACGCCGCTTTGCGAATCCTGTGTGAGAGAGGCGACTACATCCTTACCGAGGAATACTCCTTCTCGACCGCTCTTGAAACCGCCAGACCGCTGGGCATCAAAGCTGCCCCTGTCAAGATGGACGAGCAAGGCCTCCTTCCAGAGTCCCTGGACGAGGTCTTGACGAATTGGGACGAGAAGGCCCGTGGTGCTAGAAAGCCTCATCTCCTTTACACGATTCCATCCGGTCAGAACCCTACGGGAGCCACGCAGAGTGCCGAGCGGCGCAGGGAAGTCTACAAAGTCGCGCAGAAGCACGACCTGTTCATCGTCGAGGATGAGCCTTACTACTTCCTCCAGATGCAACCGTATACTCCCGCAGGTGCCGAATCCGTTCCACCCCCCGCCACCCGCGAAGAGTTCCTCAAGGTTCTGCTTCCGTCTTTTCTGAGCATCGATGTGGATGGGCGGGTGTTACGCCTTGAGTCTTTCTCGAAGGTGATTTCACCGGGCTCTCGGACAGGATGGATCGTGGCTTCCGAACAGATCGTGGAGCGATTCATCCACCACTTTGAATATTCCACTCAGAACCCGAGTGGCATCTCCCAAATCGTCCTGTACAAATTGCTGGATGAGCAGTGGGGACATGGTGGGTATCTGGACTGGCTCCTGCATCTGCGGCTGGAGTACACGCAACGCAGGGACGTCATCGTCCGGGCGTGTGAGGAATTCTTGCCCACGGAGATCGCCAGCTGGGTTCCGCCTTCTGCGGGCATGTTTGTAAGTTTTTCCCCAACTACCTTCTCAATCCGGAAGACAGGCCGCAGTCCATCATGCTGACATAGTATTTGTAGCACTGGATCCAGGTCGACTGGCGCAAACACCCTGGCTTCAAGCAGGGTTGGACGCACGACGCGATCGAGGAGTCGATCTTCAAAGCCGCGGTCGACAAGGGTGTCCTCGTGTCTAGCGGAAGCTGGTTCAAGGCCGATCGATCCCAGGAGGAAGAAAAGATGTTCTTCCGAACGACGTTTGCCGCCGCCCCGGGCGACAAGATTACCGAAGCGATCAAGAGGTTTGGTGAAGCGCTGCGGGCTGAGTTTGGCTTGTGAGTGAAAATAGAGAGGGGTATAAGTAGATACAAGTACAAATACAATAACATAGCGTTTGTATATAGACAGACAGCATTCTATATATACATGTACCACGCAATATATTGCATGATTTATTACTACATTATTAATATTGAAAGCAGAAGAACGAGTAGAGAAGTATCATAGCGTCCTGCTCGCTTCGACTTCTGCTATCCTTCATTACAGGGCGACAGAAACAAACAGCCCTTTCCTTCCAGTCTGCCAGGGAGCATGACAACGTTATCAGGCTCAGAAGTACGGAGTATATCCAAGAATATCAACCTTGTCCCTGGTCCGAGCCGATATTCTATCCCGCCAGTCTGATTGGCCGCTGTTCGGGGCGTGCCTTATTAGCTAAAGGTAACGTGACCGCGCCGGGGAAAGCCTAACCAGACATTTAGATTAAGTAGATGGCTGCCACACCATCAACCCCATCATCGATCGATCCGATCGATCGACCTGACGGAGAAGGGTCCGATTATTATCGCATTAATCTCAACTTTGTATCCAGCATTGTTTTCGTTTATTTTTCTTCTCCCTTTTTGTCAGAGATACCCTTGTGAGTCGTGGTTATTGTTTGACGGAGTTTCGGAGTTGGGTTGGTAAGTAGAGCTTCTCTGCATTCCATGTTAATTATTCCTTGTACTGTACTGTACATATCCAACAAGCCTTGCTTGAAAGTATTTCTTTTAGTTGTCAAATTTGTACCTTCTCAACCTCTCAATTGCTTTTTCTGTTTCCCTGGCTGCTTACCTGTAAACCCCCTGATGTGCCCCTTGATCTGTCGTTCACGTGACTTGTATCACAACTTCTTCAATACTGTGGTATGAGCATAGCTTTTCTCTGTTCAGAAATGCTGCCATTATAATTGAAGATGGAGCAATAAATTGTCCAGATTGAGATCTGGCTAACTGGTCAGCACTAATAGCAGTCCTTTTTGTCTGATAGTCTGCGCATATTCACATACCTTTTTCCCCTGTGGCCAGCAGTTTCCTTCTCTCTGCGTTGTATGAACGTTTTCCTTGACAGGTATGAGATGAGCTCATCTTGCAAGTTCATTCTTAAATATGATGCTATACCATGGGAATGCTTAAAGGACCTCTCCTATCATATTGACTAGTGACTCAAACTCACCAGTCTGCAGCAGATCACACAGATCATTCACGCGTTCTGTTCACAACATCACAGACCTCCAAACCAGCGCTCTTCATAGGCCAGCTCTATCCGGCGCTAATTTAGCGCGTCTGCACGTCACTGCCTGATTGACATCTTGGTCATCATCCAAGTCTCACTTGTGCACAACCTCTAGATATTGTCGTGTCGACGATTAGAGCCATAGTTCCGTGAAATCGTGGCGTTAAAAAGCCATAGTCGTATTTGCCCATCCCTAAAATCTTGTATTCGAAGTTTTGCCGGCCCGAATCTGCGGAAAAAGGGCGATATCGGTTCATCCTGAAGGAATCAAATCTATATCGACAACGCTCGAAACTGAGGTTCAATTGATCAGTTCGAAGTACTTCAGACAAGGTCTCGACCCTCCTGCTCGTCTGATAATTTCTTTCTGCGTAAGTTCTCCCCTCATTATCTTCTTGTCACTCCCTTTTCATCCTCCATCCCATCCTTTTCTCATCACCTTCCATCTTTCTTGACGTTCCATGTTCAACATGGTCCCTGACCCTCGTCATCATCGCCGCAGAGGCTTTTATGGGTTTGACCTGACCACTCGTGTTCTCGTGTGTTGATTTCCTGACGTCTGTGTGATTGTAGTGCTGAAAACAAGGCCGCTCTCAGTCGAGAGTTCTCGTCTGGCAGCAGCGGAGAATACCAGGACGGAGATCCTTCTGCAAATTCAGCTGAAGAGTCTGAAGGTTTCTCGTCTAGAGCTTCTGGTCCTGCCTCGACTGAACAACCTCTCCGTCGACGAAACCCGTCCACTTCAGGAGACTCGGGTTCAGGTTGTGATCGACCGGATCCCACAGAGCAACTTGCTCAAGCTTACAGGGATCTTATCGGCGATCCTTACCTCGAAGACGAGGGTGAGGAAAACTTCAGCTCAGAGGTAGCAGAGGCTGCCAGGTAAGTCATGTCTATCAGCAGTAACGATGGGATGTTCCTGACTCCGTCCTTAGTTCGAGGGTTGAAGAGCCTGCCGCGCCGCCCTCTCCTGACACCGAACCATTTCCAGAGTTTGAAGACGTCGATCCGGAAGAGTGGTATTCTAGTTTTTACCCGCCTGGACAGGGCTTCCGTATCGATTCGTCGCCCTGTCCTCCTGGAGTTCCTTGGTTACAACCTCAACAGGAGGCTACTCCAGCGCATAACCAGGCATCTCATCGCCAACCTTGCTTACTTCCCGCTCCAAATTTCGGGTCACCTCTTCCTATCAGAAATCATCGCCCTTTTTGCAGACTACAACCAAGTGAGACACGTCGACTCGCTCCGTCTCCAAAGTTCACTTACCCCGAGTCCCGTAGAGAACCGGAACAGCCTGTTGTCCGGTCTTCTGTAGCCTCTTCATCTCCTTCGGTCTCCGCGGCAGGTAAGCCTTGTCAGACTCCTTCAAGACCAGCACTTGACCCTGAGTCGCCGACTTTCTCTTCTCGCTCTGGGGAGCCTCGACCTCCGAGATCTTCAAAAAGATCACGCGATTATACCCAGCGTCCTATCTGTGGGACTTCCACCCCCTTGGACGTTCCCGCCAAGGAAGTGAATCAAAGAACAGGCTACCAGGCTCCGAACTCTGTGGAACTCCTCCTCAATCATCTGACCAAAGACGTCAACTTAGAGTTGGCTCATCTCCTGCCTCTCCGTACCCTGCATATCGGTTCGATACTCATCGACGCATTTACGATCCCCTCAATTTTTTCCCCTTTGATAGTAGTGGCAGTCACGTTGACTCGTCTGGTGACCGTTCTCCTGAGCTCTCTGGAAACGATAAAAGTCGAAAGAGTAGCTCGAAATCCGGTACATTCAGCCTCGCGCGTACGCTTCGAAAAGGCTCCTCTGACTCATCGAATACTGTTGTTCAATCCTCAGAGCCCAAGAGGAAAAACAAATTCAAGAGGACTGGTTCTTCCGGGTTGGCCTCGTCGATCAAGAAACTATTTCATCCCGGTTCCAGGAAGAGTAGCGACGACGAAACAATCGAGGACGCGGATGTCCTTGGTACTGCTGAAGTAAGTTCGTCAAACGCCTCCACCAAGAGCAACCATAAGCAAGACGACGATTTCCCAAGTTACCACCACCCTGTCTCTGGCTGTCAAGCTCATCGACAACCTGCGGAGCAACAAGCTACACATTGGGCTGACGCCTCCTCTAAAGCGTGTTTTCTAAAAGCTGAAGAAAAACGCGTCAAAACCTTCAAAAATCGTCGGTTCCAAGCACTGACTTTTCCAGAGAGTTATCCTAGAGGAGAGTTGCCTGAATTCCACTTTCCTCAGCAGGCTCAAACTGTCGACGTTCCAAGTTCAGAGACTGTTTCCGAAGGGCCGTCTGTGATAATTACCGAGCCAGAAGAGTCTCTGTCCACCCAGGTGTTTTTCCCAGGAGGCTTCTCAGTCTCTCAAAACAACCATCTTGCGAACATGGATCCGTCGCGGGCATCCCGTTTCTTGGACCCCTCGTCGGCTGTGGCGACGATCACGAGGCAAAAGGCCGAGGCTATCAGGCTGGCGAAGGAACAAGCGGCCGCTGTAAAGGAAATGTGTCGACGAGCCAAGACAGATGTCCCGCCATACGAGTTCGAAGAGCTGATTGGCAAAGGTGCATATGGACGTGTATACAAAGGGTGAGTATTTATCCTGCATTCGTATCCTCCTTGTCCAACATTACTAACGTCTCATATAACAGACGTCAGCTACCGTCCCGCAATCTTGTCGCGATCAAAGTGATGGAGATTGATTCTACTGACTACAAGACCGTCCGCGACATGAAAGATGAGTCGATCAAAGACTTCATTCACGAGATCAAAGTCATGAACCAGGCAAAGGAGGCGGGTGCTAAAAACATTAATATGCTTATCGAAGCGATTTCCATACACTCGCAGTTGTGGGTGGTCTGTGAATACTGCCCCGGTGGAAGCGTCAAGACTCTGGTAAGTGGGCTTTTTATTCCAGCCGCATAGAAACGATCAGCTGAGATCTGTCATCTTCCAATTAGATGCGAGCCACTGGTGATAAACTCGAGGAGAAGTTTATTATTCCAATCGCCAGAGAGCTGGCAGTGGGATTGAAAGCAATCCACGACGCTGGCATTATCCACCGGGACGTCAAAGGTAAGAAAATCATATATCACCCCAAGCTGACTACGCATGGATTGTTTACTGATAGACTTCACATTCAGCTGCCAACATCCTCATTCATGAGGAAGGGCGCCTACAGATCTGCGATTTCGGTGTGGCTGGTATCCTTCAATCTAAGCTTGATAAACGCTCAACTTGGATTGGAACTCCCCACTGGATGCCGCCAGAGATGTTTTCGAACCGCGGAGGAGAGGCTCACAAGTACGGCAGTGAGGTAAGAAGCCCCGAATGTTGTCTGCTCGCCTACAATCGCTAATGATGATCAGCTTGATGTGTGGGCCTATGGCTGCACCCTCTTTGAGTGCGCAACGGGCAATCCGCCCAATGCGGGATTGCGAGAGCGGATGCAGATCGGACGACAGCTCACTCGAGTCACGCCGAAGCTAGAGGGTGACGAATTCAGCCAAGGGCTGAAGGATCTGGTGTCATATTCTCTTAATTCCGACCCGGCGACGCGCCCGACGATGGGCAATATCCTGGAGCATCCGTATATCGCGAATTCAGAAGAGGCGTATCCTACGTCGTCGCTGAGTGAGCTGGTACGGATCTACTACCAATGGACTCAACGGGGTGGTCAGCGAATCTCCCTGTTCAACCCAGGAGGAGCCGCGGCTGCGGAGATTCCAGGTGACAATCCAGATCTGGATGAGGATTGGAATTTCAGCACTACGGACGGGTTCGAACGCCGGTTCTCGATCATCGATCTTGACCAGGTGTCCGCTACCCTAGCCGAATTGGAAGGAGGGCAAACTCCAAGTACCGCCCAGCCCGAGCACAAGCCCCCGGAGGAAACTCGGAGTATAGAGATGACGCCCTTGGAGAAGGCCAATTTCGACGAACGTGTCAAGAGAGGAGCCGCCGCTATGGAAGGACTTTTCGATGAGGACAAGCCGACGTACAAGTACGAGACGAAAAATGACTTCGTGCCCATCGAGCAGAAGCCGGGATATTCGGATCTTCCGCTGCGAACTGTCACGGACAGGTCATCTGTCGCGTCGACATTTATTGACATCAACCTGGGCTCTTTTGACTCGTCGCATTATGCTGCTGGTTCAGCGTCGAACACACCGTTCCAGCTAGCTGACGCCGATACCATCCGCGCGAATCGCTCCAGTCTGCGATCGAACCGCAATTCAAGCGAAGAGCGCTCACGGCCACGCAGTGAGTCTGAAGACTCGTTCTATCAGCCGCCCAGCGGGCCCCGTCCTCCTACGATGGATTGGAAGTTTCCTACGATGATGCAGCCGTCAGAGGATGACGAAGAGCCTAAAGGAACAGAAACGTACGGCCAAACTGAGAGGCGGGCAACTAGAGACTGGAAATTCCCGGTCATGACACCGGACGCGGATGACTCGCAAGATACGACCACTGACGACGCCATTTCTGAGACCATCCGACCATCCCACACTCAACCGCCGACCACGAGCTTTTCTCATGGAGGCAACAAGTCCATCGACAGTGCTGGGGAATCGCGTCCTTCTACGGCTACATCTACGGTTTCTACCACATCTGAGTACGATCCGTTCCGATTTGACAGGCCTCCAACACCGCCTACACGATCGTCCTCGTTGCATAGAACTGTCTATGACACCGCCGCACCGAATCTGGCGGAGTCTAGATATTCCGACGAGTCGTCTGTTCTGGAGGGACCAGGCCCGGATCATGAAGAGCCGCAACCTGCATGGCAAGAGAAGGATCCTGCTGTCTCCTACAGTCAGCCATTCCCGCCAGTTATTTCGAAGCCAGAAGAGAGCGCCTCGACTTCACCCGTCACAACCGCTCCGTCCATTACATCGTCGACCACGGTCGTAGAATCCCGCGAGTCGACGTCGACGTCGACGACTGTCAACAAAACCAACGGTCCCGCATTCATATTCCCCGACGTCCAGCCTCCCAGCGCAGAGAGCCTGATGGCGGGAGCGGACGATTCCGTCGTGGCGGCAGAACTGGACCGGCTGCTGAGGGATTTTAACGATGCGTTGAACGTGACTGCCGAAGCGGTGAAAGCGACGAATGTGATGCCGCGGGCTCGATAAGAAATGGCACGCTTGACGTGTGATTTATTGACATATGATCGATCTGTTTAGTCGAGGACGGCGTTACGAAATCATACATCAATCAGTCAAACTGACCGTCAGGATGCTCTACTACTGTCGGGATGTTGTCACGAGTTTTATTTCTATTAAGTCATATGATAGGGGGGGATGGTGCGGATTTGCTTTGTCTTCATTTTATTTTCATTTTTTATGTTGAGTAAGTCGCATGCAGTGATTCTTTCTTTAGTCTGGGCGTGGAAAAGTTAGTTAGTCTGTTTCTTTTCTTTTTCGGTCAGGAATGATCAATGGATTAATCAATTCGGGAATGAATGAGTAGAGCGTAGTTAACTAGTTATTGCAGGTTGTTTCGAGAAAAATGATTTAAAAAAAATGGTACCTCTGGCATGTATGAATAAGTCAATCAATCATTTCAACTTGTTTGCCATCTTTCATGAATTCACGTTACAGTAAAATCAGCCATCAAACCCAAATGATCCGTAACCCAAACTTCCTCGCCGCGAGCTTTGACCTTGACTCCCTCCCCAATCCTCTCCAGACCGGTCACTCGCAGCCCTCCACAGAACAGGACCTTGTCCATCCTGCTGCAGCCGAACCGCCGGCGCAACTCCTCGGGTACCTGCTGGCCCCAGGTGTAGGCCTCGTCGGTATCGTCCCTGCCGCCGAGGACGAGGAAGGCGTCCTGCAGACCGCATTCGATGGGCGCGGTGCGGTCTTCGGGCGCGAAGGCGTTGAGATCGCCGGCGAGGGCGGCTGCGTGAGGCGGGGGAAGGCCATTGACGGATCCAGAGCCGTGCATGAATGTCGATGCTAGTTTCATCTGTTTCGGTCGAAGAGGAGGGTTGGAGACGAGGCTTTCGAGATGGGTGTTGCAGAGACGCAGAAGAAGCGGTTCTACTCCAGCACCGCTAGCTATACTCGACGTTAGTTGTCTTTAACCAGACTGACTAACTGACTTGCTATATGCATACCTGTACCCCGAGTATCCGCTCCCACCAAAACATCCACAAACAGCCCATCACGCTGCATCCTCGTGTCGCAGTAGTGCACCCGGAACACGCGCTGCACGACAAGCCGCTTGTCAACCAACGTGGTCGTGCCATAGTACGGGCTCTCCCAGAATTCGGGCGTCAGATCAGTGACGTGGAAATGCTCTCGCACCCAACCCGCCTGTTTGATCTGCTGGAGATCGGACGGCAGCATTTCCTGCAGGAAGATCACGACGGGAGTGTCCGCCGTAGTAGTAGTAGAAGTAGTCTGTCTGTAGAGCTTCTCCAGATGCGTGAGAGCGCCGGCCATACGCTCCTCGGCGTGTGGAACCTGCGCATCGATATTCCATGTGATGAGCCGGAATTTGGATGGCAGTGACGATGCTGATGCTGCGCCTGCTGTGTCGTTGTCATGTACCTGCTGTACCTGTTGTACTTGTACTGGAACAGGCACCCATCTTCTCCCATTCTTCTCGAACCGATAGAAGGGCTGCGCAAAGGGCTCGTTTAGAACCCATGATCGGCTGTGTTTTGATTCGAGGGATGATAGCGATGCTGGGATGCTGCGAGACATGGCTGCTGCATGTACTGCATGTATTGCATGTACGATGTGCGAGGAATCTTGTTATTTTGTTGTCTTGTTTTGTTTGAGAATCCTCTCTCATCTGCAGTTGCAGTTGCAGTTGCATGCAGCCTGATAAGCAGATGACTATGACTCGACGAGGGTCCCCGCATCAGGGCCAATCCCGTTAATTAAATACATTCACCGTTTTCTTTCGAGAGAAATAATAAATATTAAAAAAAAAGAAACCAGGAGAGAGAAAAAAAAGCACAACAAACCAAAAGAAAAAAGAAAAGAAAAAAGAAAGGTCAGAGAAGGATCCATACATGCTCCCTACTCCGTAGGCATGTACTGTACATACAGTACAGTAGACATATCCGTCCACTTATTTAATTCATTGCTCAGAACATTTTCAGCACTGCTATTATTATCAAAAACAAAGAAAAAAAACACCTAGATCTAATTTTATCTTATCGTTCATTCAGTCGACCAATACTGTAGAGCTGATGCTGACATACTAATTAAATCTAGGGTTTTATTTTGTTCCATCGTGTTGAAGAAGCTGAAGAAGATATTAAAATACATTCCTAGGGCGTAAAGGGCCCTAAGTCCTTGCGGAACGCTTAGTAATGACTTCCAGCCAGTCAGTACAGAGTATAGGCTCCTCTATAGGCTTCATATAGGCTTCATATAGGCCCCGTGTAGGCTTCGTATGGGCTACCCTATAGGGTTCATGTTGGCTCCCCTATATACACAGTACAGGCTCCCCTACAGGCTCTATATGGGCTCTGTATGGGTTCTTCTATAGGCTGTATATAGGCTTAGTACGGGCTCCCATACAGGCTCTATATTTGCTCTGTATGGGCTTTATATAGGCTCCTATAGGCTCCTTTATAGGTTCTGTATGGGCTCTCTTATAGGGTCTATATAAACTCCCCATAAGCTCTATAAGAGCTCTATGGAGGCTTCATATGGGCTCCCTTATAATTTTCTATAACCCTCCCTATAGGCTCATAGGTAGGCTTGTAGGTTAGGCTCCCCTGTAGGAGGTAAGGAAGGAGGAGGTGGTGTAAGCAAAATCATGTGATTTAGCTTTATATGGACCAATCAGATGATAGAACACTACGAACCAATCATATCAAATTAAGTCTCGATCATGTGATGAATTTTTACCAATCAGATCGAAGGAAGGGAAAGGGGGGGTTCCCGCGCAGACCGTTATATATTGCTTCGCGCTACGCGCTCCGCAAATTATTATCATTAGCAGCAGGAGTATAGTATTGCTGATCATGCCCCTCTTTTTTTTTTAACAATTTCCACCTTTCTCTCTTTAACAGAAAAAAAAAATAAATAAATAATATTTCCAATAAAGATGAAGGGATGGAGCTTTTGTTTGGGTTTGTGTCACATTTTCTCGGATAGGAACGATTATCCGAAGGGAAGACGTCATCGTCTCCATTCAACCAACTCCCGTCATCATTATTATCGTTATCGTTATCACTATCACTATCAATCAGTCTCGATAATCAGCCTTGACAGATGGATTGATGGTTAATTAACCTGCTTGTTTTTTTTGGTCTTATCCTCGTTTATATAGCTGAGAACTTTTTTGTCTCATTCATACCATCGAAGTGAGATATCTACATGCTTAAATAGATATCTGGTATAGTGTCAACGGCTGGATGGCTTGCTGGCTGGCTATAGAAGGGATATATTAAGCTTTATTCTAGGCACCATCTACCGTGCCTATAGTTACCTATTTTTTTTTATCAGTCAGCCTCCTTATATACGACTTCGAGCGAGCCTGGAGAAACGCCTTTATCCTCTCTCTATCTTCAGCATCCCTCTCTATTCAATTCTCTGCAAGCTTGATATATTCTCTTTTCCCAGGTAAAGAAAAGAAAGAAAGAGAGAAAGAGAAGACAGCAGACAGCAAGTTTGCAAAATGTGGGAAATCATCGCCGGCACCGCAGCAGGCGTCCTCGGCGTGCTCATCATGTGGGTTGGCAGCGGATATCTGGACCTGAACCTGGACTTGCATCCATACGAGCGACGCCTGCACGGAGAGAGAGTAGCAGCAGTCGCAGAAGGAGAAGGCGATGTTGCTGCTACTCTTGCGGACGAGGACAAGGATAGTAGGATTGGGACGGGTGAGATGAAGGTGTCGTATGCGGTGAAAGGTATGTATATGCATACAGATGACAATGTCGTGTGTTACATACACATTTGTTTTTGCTGATTATGCATTTATGTAGATAATGTATCCGAGACCACAGTCGAGAAAGTCGACAGGGACAAGGACATAACCCTTGTCCAGCACGATGTGGGCTCTCGCTCTCGCTCTCGATCTCGCTCTCGCCAGATTTCTGGTGATGGTGCTGGTGCTGGTACTGCTGGCGGTGGTGCTGGTGGAGGAGGAGGAGGATTCTTTGGCAAGAAGAGGGAATTTATTAATATGTCGGTTATACCATGAACTTGGCTTTTTTTTTGAAAGGAGGATTGGATAGAATCTGCCTGTTTGGCTGTGGCTGTGATTTGACCTGGTAATATTTTTCATTTTTCACTTAGCAGTCAGTTTCTTCTGTCTTGGTATTGCGTAGGATAATTTATGAAATATGGTTGCAATGATTGATTCTACAGAATATCTGGTCGATCTGCGGCCTTTATTCCCCTGAATAAATAGATATTTCTGTTCTGGCTAATGAAGTAATGCAATCAATACAGATGTGATGCTATCACGCCTGTTTATGAGGTGAAATATTAAGCTTCAACAATATGTTGCGGTGTAACTTCACTGCTTTTCTGTCAATGGAGTTGAGACTCTGGCTTGCTGAACGGTGCTGATTAATAGATATTAAACATTAATTGCCTAACTGCGTTAACCACAGAAAATCCCTTGAAGCTGCAGCAGAGACTAATCAGAAACATGAGTGTACAGTACAGTGCGTTACATTTTCCTTGAGAAGAAAATTATGAAAGTCCAAAAGAACAGGATGAGGTCGATTTTGTCATGAATTGAAAGGTTGAACACCAAGGGGAGGACAATGCAGCACTAAAGTAAACGACGTAATCGTTCATCTCTCCATGAAGTTTTGAATACCGAACAAAAACGGAAGAATCGTTGGCAATACCAAAGGAGGCTATCTCAGCGCTAGTAGGACCAGGACCGTTCGTATGCAGTTTCTAGTCAAAATCATCCAGAACTTGAGAGCAAAACCTCTCGTAGTACTCTCTCCCCTTCCATCCGCGACGCGGGTTTTTCAGCCCCACCGTCTTCCAACATTCTGACCGCAGACGTGAGATGCGCTGTTCCTTGGTTTCGTCGAGCAGGGCGCCCGGAATCGCAAAGGAGAAAGAATTGACACACGGCAGGTCTGAACGCAGACGAGAGCAGTTATCATCTTGGTCCTTTTGTCGTGTTTCAACCGGTCGAAAGCTCCAGAATGACCTCGTGCGGGGACATCGGCTCGTTCGATGGATGTGTTGCAGCTCCGTCACGTTCGCGATGAGGGCGGATACTGTTGCGATATTGGAACGGAGTTGTGCGCCAAAGCTCAGGATCAAGTTGTTGTATCGACGGATTGCTTTGACACGTCGAGGTGTGAAGGTCATATCGCCGCGGTTCGTCGTTCCTTTATTCGATGTCGACTTGCGCGTGCTTTTCAATTGGGGCTCTTCTCTTTCCAATTGGAAGCTGGACTCGTCACACGAGTTCCAAGACGCGATTATCTTCAGTGGAAGAGAGAAAGGTTGGGCTCGGGTTTTGACTCGTGGAGCAGGTGACCCAGTGGACTTTACAGCCTCCTTAGCTGGTGGAACAGCATCTTGGTTTTGACTGACTTTGCGGATTCGCAATGGTGATGGCATGAGCTTTTTCAGACTGAGACTCCGTTTGGGGAGCTCAAAGGAACAACTTGCAGCTTCTTCATCGAGCGTCTCAAGGGAGATGAAGGGATCGTCCTCTGCCAGAAACGGAGATTCCATCGACAAGTCGATCATGCGGGAAACAGAGCCAACGACATCCTCGGTCGTAAAGGCGCCCTCCGTGTCTTCAGACGAAGCAGGAGAGGTCCACGCGTCTGAAGACCCGGATGCAGACTCCGGACTGCCCTCTGGGACCGGTATGAGAGGGGGAAGCGACACGTTGCACGCCATGAGATGGTCCAATGACAGCTGGAGAAGTGGAAGCTTGCTGCTGGCATAATGGTGAGCTGCTCGGCCCAGCATTTCGTACGAGATGGCGAGGTAGAATTGGAGATAGGTCTTGTAGACGGGATGAATCTGCAACATTGCACCTCAGCTTTTAGAATCAGTTATTACTATGGTCTGATAAGTGAATCACGAACTGGTCTCGTTGCTGTATCCAGCAGCCTGCTGGCACGGGCTGCACACTGCTTGTATTTCCGTCGAAGATACTGTAGCTTAATTCCATGCAGAGCCACCTTCCATTCATGTGATGTCCTTGGAGAAAGAGTTTCACTGTCTGGTGCTAATTTTGGTAAGACGTTAATCGGCGTAATTGGAGCCATCGTTCTGAGAAGACGCTTTAGGGATGCTGTCCAGAAGATCTGGAATCCAGCCAGCAGCTCAACGTGAGCATGCTGCAGAATCAAATCGAAAGGCTATATGCCATGGCAGCTGTGGCATTGATTAGGAGTATGGAGGAGGTATAATGGTAGGACTGCATTAGACTTCATAGATTCAGGAGGGTGTTGCTGACGCGAGGCTCATTGGGACGTGTTCGAGACGTGCCTCAACAACACTCAAAACAAAGAATACCCCGAAAGGGCTAGTCATTGATGACAGATGGCGGCTTTTTGATTGCTTTATCTAATTTCACGAGCATTACTGGGCCTCATTGATCGTTTCGCCCAAGTCCATCCAAAACTTCTGGCTTATACGCGAGCTTTGGGCATGTTTATCAAACCCTGGCCAGCACAGAGCCGTGTCGATTCAGAGAACTTTGCTTCCCATCCGCTCCTTAGACTTCTCAAGCTCGAGCACGTGCTTCGCTCTCTTGTGATGCCAATATTTCCGATCAAATCCCTTCTCTCCCACTTTCGAATTCGAAGAATTTTTCATGCTTCAGTCGTCGAATTCCAGCCGTCTTTCGCCGGACATAAACCTCCTCGTGTCTACTTTGTGCTTTAAATTGCTTTTAGGACCTCTATTGCCTCCTTCTCCGCGTATCCAGCTAGAGATTGCTTCATTAACATCATCACTTGGGATTATATAACAAGAGGATATAGTCACATACCCATCTCTAGTCTGGGATGGCACGCCACATCTGACTGCAAAATCGTATACTTAAAGGAACTACATACAGAGCTTTCAGGAGCAGAAGATCAAGACTACTAGGTATATGCTGGGAGGATATGATTGGGGGATCCTACTGGGTGTGGCGCAGGCGCGTGGCTATGCGGATATCGTGTACCTGCTTTGCTACATAAATGGAAGAAATTCAACATGCAATAGTAAAGCTTAAAGCTTAATTCAATGGGCTTTCTAACACTATTTTTCTTTTAAAAAAATTGTCAAGTTGCAATATACGCACAAACAGATTCTTCGCGTTCTCATTAGCATCTTTGCACTGGCATGTGGAATCAACTGTCGTCACTTGGCAAAGACTGAAGGTACAGTACACTTAATGATTTCACATAAGAACAGGAAAGATACTCCGTAGAAGATCAGAAAGATAGCTTCTCTCACCTCCAGTTTCCGTCAAATCGATCTCACTGAAGCGAACAGTTCTCCAAGTCACCAACGATGGAATCATCGACTCCTCATTTCGGCTTCTGGCCAATTTTCTGACCATTGATCTTCTCTGACCATTGTCTTTAGTACTGTTAACTAGGCGTTCTAGATTTTAGCCACAGAGATCGTCTTCATCGTCACTCTCCCGAAAAGGAAAGTGTAACGTGACAGATACCGGACAGTCGCACGGACTGGCTATTTTGGTGCCGGTTTCCGTATCTTATCAACAGCAGATGTACTCTGTACATGTAGTCTGTACTATTATCAGACTGGACTCGTGCTTTATTTTGATTTCACCTATCTCATACGGTCACACAATCCTATTATTCAGGAGGACAGACGATCATCTGCGCTCTGCAAATCAACACGTCTGGCCTTCGCCAACCTGCGGCCGGCCCGGCGCTAGCTCTGCGGATTGGCTAGTCTCGTGCCAGCCAGGGGCCAGGCTCAGCCCCTCCTGGCAGACTCCCCCGCTGCTCAGCCACACGCTCCCGCGGTTCGACGTCTCGACTACGTCGTCCCTAATATTGCATGGGCCAGCTCGTGCCCCCGGTCGGGCTGAATTTCTGCTCAAAACACTCGTCTGTCGACATATTTCATATTTCTCCTCTCTCCCTCCGGCTCCAACTGCGGTCTCTCTCTGTCTCGCTGTCGTCCTGATTGTCCTGCCCTGTCCTCACCCGACCCCCGCCGCGCACGTGGGGTACGCTTAGCTGATCCGCCAAGCAGGCCTCGCTTCAGCTTATCGTCTGCCATTTGATTGGAACCCCGCGGCCACCGCTTGACTTCTTTGTGCGAAGCAACCATGAGTTGTAAGTCAATCGAGTTCTGCTATGCTTTGTCTGTGCGCTTCTTGCCTTGGACGAGTCAATTGACCGCGACAATTGGCGGATCCTCCCATGTGGTGTGCTCGGCTTCGAGAGGCTCTGCTGCATCGCTGGGCCACGCAGCCGCAGCTCCGGTCTTTGCTTGAGCTGCTGGTGCTGGCCTTTGTGGTCTTTGTGAGCGTCTTCAAGATCCTCGAGTTTACCTGGTATCATGGTCTGAGCATTTCTGTGATGGATTCTCGGTTTCTGTTGTTCTGCTGGTTGCATACCTGTCTGGAGGACATGGACTGACGACCCGTCTCTCTACAGTCACACATATGTTCAACAGGCTGCAAGGCCAGCCGGAAAGTTATGAGAAGAAGTACTGCCTCCTCTTCCTTTCCTTCCACCGTCGACTGGCGCAATTGTGACGCGAGCTCATCGTTTTTGGTAGATCTCAGTATCGACTCGGACGGACCCTAGGTGCGGGCACTTATGGAATCGTTCGCGAAGCCGACTCCGCCAAGGGCAAAGTCGCCGTCAAGATCATCTTGAAGAAGAATGTCCGAGGCAATGAGCAGATGGTCTATGACGAACTCGAGATGTTGCAGAAGCTGAACCACCCCAACATCGTCAAGTTCATTGACTGGTTTGAGTCGAGGGTGCGGCAGACTGGTCCCCACCCTCACTTAAGGTCTGCTGTTAACGATGTTCTTGTAGGACAAATATTACATTGTCACCCAGCTGGCCACCGGTGGAGAGCTCTTTGACCGGATCTGCGAGTACGGCAAATTCACGGAGAAGGATGCCTCTCAGACGATTCGGCAAGTGCTCGGTGCCGTCCACTACCTCCATGAACGGAACATTGTCCACCGAGGTTTGTTCGCCCGATCCTGAATGTCGTTGTCACCAACTCTCCTTCTAACACTCACATAATGCAGACCTCAAGCCCGAGAATCTTCTTTACCTGACCTCGGAACCCAATTCCCCCCTAGTCTTGGCCGACTTTGGTATCGCGAAGATGCTGGAAAGTCCCTCCGACGTGCTCACCTCTATGGCGGGCTCTTTTGGCTACGCCGCGCCTGAGGTCATGCTCAAGAAAGGCCATGGCAAGGCGGTCGACATGTGGTCCATGGGCGTTATCACCTATACCCTGCTCTGTGGTTATTCGCCCTTCCGATCGGAAAATCTCCCGGACCTGATCGAAGAGTGCCAGCAGGGACGAATTGTCTTTCACGAGCGCTATTGGCGGGATGTGTCCAAGGACGCGAAGGACTTTATCCTGACCCTTCTGGAGCCCGACCCAGCCAAGCGCGCTACCTCGGAGGAGGCTCTCAAACATCCGTGGCTGAAGGGAGAATCGGCCACTGACCACAACCTGCTACCTGAAATCAGGGCCTACATGGCGAAAGCCAGGCTGCGCCGTGGTATCGAGATCATCAAGCTGAAAAATCGTATCGAGGCACTCAAAATGCAGGAGGATGAAGAGGAGGATATTCCCAGCACAGCGGACATTAAGGCAGAAGATGCTGCAGCGAAAGCCGCTCCCGAGTCGGGTACCACCCCATTCCCCTCTGTGCCAGGGGCGAACACCGATGCCAGCGCATCGTCCGATGCGCCGTCAGGCGGTACGAAGAAGCGGAGCTTGAGCAAGGCGGCACGTAGTGCCATCTTCCGCGAAGTGGTCC